ACACAACACACAGCGCATAGGAAACAGCTAACCATAAGCCATACAACCTCAAGCTGACATCTCCCATCTTCGGGATGAATTAACAAGGAGGAGCAACATTTACATCAAATGTTTTAATTTTTTTAAAAAAATTTTAAATATTTTAACATTGGGGTTTTAACTTGAGGGCAGTTTCGGATGGAATGTGAGAATTGGTAGTGCATTCAACAATACTAGCAAGTGTTGTGCTTTTACACGTCGACATATTGTAGCAGCGTCCACGCAGCAAACATAACTGTGTACATCTTAAACAACAACAGTGTTTTCATGATTGTACTATGTGCCTCTGATGATGGTTGTATTTAAACCGAAACATGTAAGGCAGATGTGATAAAGAAGTGACCTACAAATTGTTACACTCGACGGACTTTCTATTGACTTTGTGATTGATAGTGTAACGGACCAAAAATGAAACAATTCAAAATAGTAGATGCTTGTCAAGCTAGATTGGTAAATCAATATACTAATACAAAAAGAAAACTACTGAGAATTAACGCTCACATATGGTTCAATCGAAAGTGTAAAAGCAAAAACATTATTCCGAATTACGCTAAGCAAAAACTAAAAGGCTCAACACAAGCTGCAAAGCTAGAATTGGTAGTGCATTCAACAATCCTAGCAAGTGTTGTGCTTTTACACGTCGACATATTGTAGCAGCGTCCACGCAGCAAACATAACTGTGTACATCTTAAACAACAACAGTGTTTTCATGATTGTACTATGTGCCTCTGATGATGGTTGTATTTAAACCGAAACATGTAAGGCAGATGTGATAAAGAAGTGACCTACAAATTGTTACACTCGACGGACTTTCTATTTACTTTATATATAATGCCTTCACTTAATATTTCATTAATTGGACGTTCGTGAAATGATATATACGTAGATGTAGTTTGAAATAATTTAAAAGTACTGCGTCATTGATCCATTAGTTATCAAAATAATTTAATCTCGAATATCACCGAAAAATATTGTTATAATTGACTGAAAAATAAATTTTAAAGTGTCCCACAATTCAGGCGCGATGTCCATCGCTGATCAGAACAGTTCAGATGACAATTTTTGCACTCATTTACCGATTATAGAGACTAGGGGAATTTTGCTTCAAAACCGCCACATCCGAAGAGATCAGCTCGTTAATCAGTTCAACATTTCTTTCAATAGAGGCGCTGATTGTCACATATCGATTCCTCAAGGAAAGAACAGTCTTTCATTTGTTCTACTCTTGCTGACATTTCTTGGTAATCTCAAGGACTTTTTTTCAATGCATCTGTATTTGCCCCAAAAGTTTCGATATTTAACAAGTATTTCGGTGGCTGGGCTCTGCAGTAAACGGGATAAAGGAAAAATTGAATATTTCTACAGTGCTAATAACAAATAAAGAAACAAACTCACCTTATATTTCGTCTTGTGGCTGGACTCTGCAGTAAACGGGATAAAGGAAAAATTGAATATTTCTACAGTGCTAATAACAAACAAAGAAACAAACTCACCTTATATTTCGTCTTCACTTCACGAATAAACCCGTATCTGAAAACAAGAATCACTTTTGAAGGAAAAGAAGGCTTTAACAAAAATATGTTAAATGTATAGTGTGAGGGTCATGTATGCTTGCGGCATCTGGCTTCAGGATTTGTAATGCGTGTCTGATCGAAGTGATAGCTCACGATATCAATGAAGATGTATGTAAAACTAATTATCATTCTCATAATGTAGCATAAAAGCAGCGATAGCTCAGTCGGTATAGAGACAGGCTAGGGGCTCGGCTTCCAAGGGTTCAATTCCTGGCAAGGACAAGTAATTTTTTTCTACTCAACAGCGTCCAGACAAGCTCTGGTCTTTGCCCCGGGAGTAAAGCGTCCGAGATGTGAGGCTGACCACTCAGCTGTTTCTAACGTGAAGGTCAAGAACTGTGGAGCTATTCCTCCACTTCTCATACGTTTTTGCCTGGTGCTTAATTAATTAAGCACAGAAACAAATTTACTTTTATAACGTAGAATAACAAATTTTTATGGGACTGAGTCACTTCGAAATATCAGAATATCCTAATTCCTGTGCTTCTGGACTTTGTTCATCATCCGGTATTCTAGAAACTAGAAAACCGAACGTTTCGGAAACTGGACATGTTTCCGTCCTCAGGTGAGGGGAAGACGCCTACTCAGTTGAGTCCCATAGAAAGAGCTAGCCTCAAACACAGGACATTCAATCAGCAGTCACTGAGGTTAACTCTTCCTAAGGGACCCAACTGAGTAGGTGTCTTTCCCTCACCTGAGGACGGAAACAGATCCAGTTACCGAAACGTCGTGTTTTCTAGTTTCTAGAATACCGGATGATGGACAAAGTCTAGAAACCCTGAAATTCTGAGTGTTATACACCATTGCTACAAACCTTTAGAATCTCTTCATGCAGGTATTTTAATTACAAAGTGAATACACCACTTTGACGTACTTTCATGGTTTTCCTCAGTCCTTCGACACGACTGCTGATATACTACATTGAAACTGTTCATAACCGCTTGACTCCCAATGTTGTCCCATGTGCCAAGAGGTGTGGACAATTTCGAAAAGTGGCCAAACCTGCGAAATAACCGAAACTGAGGTCCAATGGGGTTCCTGATGCCTACCTGGCGTTCATGATGTGGTCTTCGTGATTGCCACGGTTTAGGAACACGCCACCGGGAAACGCCAGAAGACAGGCCAACAGGAGCAGAAACACCTCCAGGCCCTTCTTCCCCCGGTCCACAAAGTCGCCGTTAAACACGTATGGGTTCTCCGTGGACGGTAGGCCGTTCTTTAAAAGATCAGACACATTCCAGTGACATCATCAGGGCGAGATCTTGGGTCTTCAAGATGCTAAGGATATTCCTGGCTGGTCACGGTAGCCGAGCGGTCTAGGGCATTCACTGTCTTCCCTTGCTCGGAAGCCGGGATCGTGGGTACGAATCCAACTCAGGGCAATGATGTTTGATGTTTGTGTATGTGCGTTTTTCTGTGTTTGTGTACAGGTAGAGGCCTTGCGACGAGCTGTAAGATCTAGTAAACCGAAGTGAAACGGAGAGTTTCATGGAGGTAGGCCTAGGCCCAAATTGGGGCTGTAGCGCTAAAAGAAAAAAAAGCATTACTGTCAGGGATGTCGCTTAATGTATTCATGCCTAATGCTTCCTTAAAAATCTTCCCAATTCATTATTCATCATCACCCATTCATTTGACTCTTCACAGTATGAGTTACTCTCTATGACTCTAGAGACCTTTGGAACTTGGCCACTTTTTCAGTTTCTTAATCTTATACATAGTTGAACTCCTTGGACGGGGGATCAGCCCGTTCTAAGGCCGTTACCTACACACAGAACGATACAAACACAGAATAAAAGCACACAGACATCCATGCCTTGAATGGGATTCAAACCCACGATCCCAGGGTTCGAGCGGGAAGAGATTGTTCACGCCTTAAACCGCCCGACGCGACCACTGGGGTTTTAAAAGAACGACAGTGGCACGTGATGTCCCCAAACGGTCACCCATCCAAGTACGAACCACGTCCAATGTTTCTTAACTTCGTTTATCTGACGAGAACTGGTGTTTCAACTTGGCATGGTCTTTGACGGTATGAAGTTATACAGTAGGGAAGAATACAACTGAGCACCTTGAGATCCTGACAACTTCAACTGTAATACATATTACGAAATTTCATGCACTCGAAAATAAACACAGTTGTTACCTTGTGGAATATGACCAGCAAGTCATCCAGTTTTCCATGAAGATCTCCACAAATGGTGATCTGCTTCGATATGGCTGTAGAGGCCTGGTTTAGATTTGGCAATCTCTTAAGTTGAAGAGCCGCCTCCTTCAGGATCCCTGCTACATATTTCGCATGTAGGCGTTGTTGCTGCTTGGAATGGAGAGGCATGTTTTGAAGTAAGATGAAAGAATATTTTTTTGTGGGAGTCATGTCTGTCCATCTGTATCAACTCGTAAACCGTTGAACAAATTTGTTAAATTCGACTTTGGAAATTTTCACTAAGGATTGTTGAGAAATTCTTGTTTTCTGTCACAGTGATACATAACAAAGTCCATTTTACTACGGTCATAATGGAACATTTGCGTATATATTATAAGTCGTTATATACATTTTCTTTAAATTTCATATGAGAGTAGAGATAGGGTCGTATGGATTGGCCGCGCCATAGCTCAAGCAGTTAGTCGCTGGCTTCCCACCGCTGCAGTTCGGGTTCCATCCCGGGTCTGGTCTAGTAGGATTTGTGGTGAACAAAATGGCGCTGGGCCATGTATTCTCCGCGTACTTCGGTTTCCCCTGTCAATCATTTCACTATTCACAATTCTAACAATACATACTAACAACATCCAAGTCATTGTTATCTTCCTTGTGACAGGTTACTCTAACTAAACGTACAGTTTACTCTGTTTATTCAGGGCGTGATTAAGGCCACGGCCACACGAGCAACATTTACTGCTCGAAATCCGCGACAAATGAAGCTGCTGCAACTGTCGCAAATGAGGTGGCCACACTAGAGCCGCAATTACTGCTCTTGGGAGCGTCAAATGTCGCAACTAGGTGGCCACATGGAGCCGTCCGCGATACCGAGCGTCAATAGCCATCATGTCACAGTGTGTGTGCAAAATATGGCGAGCAGTAGGCTACTGAACAGACAAGCAGTATCCGCATTATGTTTATTATTAATCTGTCGTCGACGCCGAAAACAGCTACAGCAGAGGAGAAAGCGGTGGATCCATCCCGTGATGAGTGACAGGTCAGCGAGGTGGAAATTTGTGCTACTACGTCACAAGTTAATGGAATATTCCGACAAATTTCTCGTATATTGTAGGATGACAATCAAATCATTTGAAATACTCTTATCCCTCGTGGAGGATACCATTTGTAAAACTCCATAGCGATTCACTACCAAACGAAAACAAGATTCAAGTACCAAATAAAGCACGCGACAAATGAAGCTCGTGTGGCCAGGCGAACTACCGACAAATGCAGCTAGAAAATGGGCCGAGACCCATCCGTCCGCGACGCGACCTTCAAATTGCTCCCTCCGCCAAGAAACCAGCGTTATTTACTGCTCCGTGTGGCCCTTCTCATTTAACTCCATGGTGCGTATTTCTTGAACTTCATTTGTCGCTGATTTCGAGCAGTAAATGTTGCTCGTGTGGCCGTGGCCTAAGGAGCAGTCTGCCGAACAACATGGATATATTAGTCAAGTGTTTTTCAGTGAGGAAAGCCCTGTTAACATGGATCGAATTCGAAAATGTAATAAATCGGTCAATTTCAAAAGTAAGATAAAGATAAACCATAAATACAGGTTTATCATGAAAAAATTCACAATATTTCAGTATAAAACGAAAGGAAGCACAATATTTCAGTATAAAACGAAAGGAAGCATTATTTAATAACGCAACATTTCAATTGACCTGATCCTTCCAGCCGCACTATGGCCCTGGGGTCGACTCAGCCTCTAACATAAATGAGTACCAGGAATTAATTAAATAATTTTCCTGTGGAGTAAAGCGCGGCCGGCGCGTAAGGCTGACAACCTTACCGCCATCTTTGAGCCGATTGTCTAGATAATGTGGGACCCTCAACATCTCACAACCCTATGGGCCTCCACGGCCTGTTACAGGGATAGCTTTACTTTACTTTTACATTATAAATCCTACTGTATAATGATTATATGAAACAGGCGGTAGCATAGTTGGTTTGGACACTATGCTACAAGCCAGAAGGTCGCTGGTTAGTTTTCTGATGTGGTAATTGGTTTTTTTATTTAAACTCATTCTTCCACCTGCACTATGGTCCTGGGGTCGACTCAGCCTCTAACAGAAATGAGTACCAGGAATATTCCTGGGGGTAAAAGGGGGCCGGAGCATAAAAATGACAACCTCACTGCAGTTTATGAGCCCATTGTGAGCCTCGACGTCTCACAACTCTATGGGCCTCCAAAAAGTGTTACAGCAATATCTTTACGAGCATATCGTCATCCGTGTCGCTCTCTGATCTTAACGTATCTTTACAAACGTTTTAGTAACAGTCTGCCATTATAAATGAGAAGGAAATTCCATTGGTAATGCCGGTTACAGACTTTTTGCGGGAAGAAATTAATTATATTTCAGGGCGACATGTCTTCTGTAGCTTCAGATGGGTTCGTGACATACTAATTAGCTGAACGCAAATTATTATTTTAGTTAAAGAGAATCGTGGAATTTATCTGCTGTCCTTACCTTCTTTTTCCTGAACGTGTCTATAAGTGCGTCCAGATCATCCCTGGTGAGGGGGAAGCTGATATGAATCCCCTTGTATCCGCCGTCAACCGACTGTAGACTGCCATCTTCTGACTCATCCTCGTATTTCTGGTCTACGGTGTCTGGAAAAAGCAAATATATATACAGAGTGTTTCACGACTTTAGGGCATAACTGCATGAGGCTAGCTCTTTGTGATCAAAAAAGTTCACATAAACATGTGTCCCATTTTGGACGCTTACGGAGTTATGACAGTTTTAAACTCAGAATAGAAGGTAACGATTACTGACACTAAACGGAACAAAATAATAAACCAGCACAATACATGATACGTTTAAAGTATGAATGTAAAGTTAACTCCGTGAAATTGCCTTTACTTTGAATTTATTGGTGCTTAAAGCTGATTTTCGAAAATGCCACCGCCGGCCACAACACAGGCTGCCGCTCGGTTGTGAACCGCGGCGGACATACCAACCCACCACGCCTTAAGTACCTCTCAAGTGTCGAGATAACGAGAACGCTCTGTCTGTAGCTGGCTAAAAATAGCGACCCGCCAGCTAACAGACGCGGTTCACACGAGGGTGCGTGGGGGAATGAAAAAACGGTCATAACTCCGTAACCGTCCAAAATCGGACACATGTTTATATTAACTTTTTTGGTCACAAAGACCTAGGAAATCACCTCCTGCAGTTATGCCCTAAAGTCGTGAAACACCCTGTATATATTGAATTTAGTTACATGAAAAGTAACGTAGCGATTGCTCCTAACAACTAATATTCAGAAGAAAGCGCCGTGTAGATATTGTGTTAACCGACGTTTCTGAGTAGCGTATCGCCTCCATCTTCAGGGTAGATTTCCCATGTCGCCCCTCTCCCTTCTCTTCCTGCTCTTATACTGTTGGGTTTACTCGACTTGACTCAGTCTGTTAGCACCTGCTCACGCTGGTCCTGAGAAGTCCTTTGTGTTCAACGTCATCTCCGGTTTGTCGATTTTGGTTCCTATCGCATGCGGAAAATAGAATCTAGTAACGTTGCAATGATGACGTCACTATCTGGTGATGACGCTCCTGAGGGATAGTTAAACTCACAATACTGTTGATCGTTTGCAGCATAATGGCGCCTGACTTCTGGCAAGTAACTGTAGATACGCTGTAGGCCGCGCCATAACTCAAGCGGTTAGTCGCTGGTTTCCCACCGCGGCGGCCCGGGTTCGATCCCAGGTCTGGTCAAGTGGGATTTGTGGTGGACAAAGTGGCGCTGGGGCAGGTTTTCTCCGAGTACTTCGGTTTCCCCTGCCAATCTTCATTCCACCAATTGCCGCACAATCACCCTCACCTATCATCTGGGGCTGGTACAATAGGCCAGAAGTGACCGCAGTACAAGGGACTTAGTCCCACCCCACTAGCATTAAAAGAAACTGTAGATACGATAACAACATGTCTTACCTATTGATGAAGATTTAGACGAAATCTCGGACCCAGGAGGCTTGACAGTGGCGTCCGGCATGTGGGTTAGGAGAGCGTTGAAGAAGTTGTACAACTGCCAACACACAACACGACAAGCTCTGTGAGGAAGCCTCTGTAGTAGGTACAAGTAAGTCAGTCTGAAGATAACTGGACAGCTGTTCCTTCACGAACCTGAAGGAACTATGCAGTACGGCTACTGGATGTAAGGAAGGAAAAGTCACAACTGCAACCCACAAAAAATTCTATTGCTGTTCTCTGATATGTGACGCTGTGTAGTCGGGTGAATTTCTAGGAATTTGCTGTCTTAATCTTCGGGATTAGAAGTGGTAAATATTTACCAGCGTTTCTAAGGAACTTACTGCGACCTCTTTCTTCACGGTAGAAGAGGGACGCAGTGAAGTCTGGTAAATAAATACCAGCTCCTTCTACCACCGTCTTAAAGATATAAGAGGAAAACACCGTGCAGTTTGCTAGAAAGTTACCAATGTTTTCAATCAATCTGCTTTCTTCATCTTCAAGAGAGATTAAATAGTGTTGTCTGGTAGACATATATCAACGTTTCCGAGGATCTTGGAGCCTCCTTCTTCGAGGCAGAATTCACGTCGGGCAATCTAATTGATATTTATCAACGTTTCGAAGAAACTGTTATCTCCATCTTCGGGGTAGAAGTGGTGACACCGTGTAGCTCCACGCTACAGGTACAGCTCCACGCAGACTTAATCTCAATAGTAAGCGGCTGTGGGTGGTTAGCTTCACGCCCCGGCTGCTTTATCTCCGAGGAATTGTTCTCCGGCATAGATTGGAGGGGAGGCTGGTTGGACCCCAGAGCCGGTCTCGAAAACTCCCTTGCCCCTGCTCATAATCTTACTCCACACCTCGATCATCCAGCCCGTAAGCCAGTCGCCATTTTCGATAGCATGATTATGAATTACAGGTGTAAAATGATGTTAAAAGAAAGTTGTTTAATTTACTATCCCAAAATCTGCCTGGAAGGACTGAGAAATCCACGAAAAGTCTACAGGAGATTCGACCTCCGAGTAGCTATTTATATCCCGAGTCACCGAAACACATGTCGACTTAACGGAAGTCATGTATCTGCTACAATATGAATAGTTACCTGGATTACATAAATACATAGAATCATATACCGTATTTACGCATGTATAGGCCGCGTGCCTGTATAGGCCGCAGCACAATTTTCAGACAGAAATTATAGAAAAAATAATTTTCTTGGAATATTATTTCAGGAGTAGAACACCCTGTATTACTAATTATGAATATATTTTTTTTAAATGAAGTGTGATTTCGAATATTTCGAATATAAGCCGCACCCCAGTTTTCCTCTTGAATTTTTGGCAAAAAATGTGCGGCCTATACATGCGTAAATACGTTAATTAAGACTATCGGGATAGCTCTACCGGTATAGCGACTGATTGCAGGCTGGACAGCCGAGGGATGAGATTTCGAGTCTCGGTAGGAGAAAGGTTCTCCTCCTGTCCACGTCTTTCCTACCGGTCCTGGGGCCCATCCATTGGGTACCGGCGGTTTTTTCCTCCATGGGTAAAGAGGCCGGGCTGTGAAGCTGACCACTCACTATCAATATGTACCGCGGTCAAGAATACATGGATCTATACGTACACTCTCCCATATGTCTTCATGGTGTAGTGCTTAATTGGTTAAGCACATGAACAACTTAACCTTCTGTTTCCCTCTGTCAGTTTGGTATGTAAAGTTATGGCTATTTTGTCAAAGATATTCACTCATAGGAAGTATAGGTGAAGTCGACATCGAAGTGTACGTAAGGTCGAAAATTCTGACTTACCTTCAGCTGGTCCTGTTCTCCCGCGTACTCTATACTCTGAAATATTGTCCATGTGTATCTTCTGCGCACCTCCATGCGCGCAAGATACCGTCGGTACCATCGCTGAATCAAGATGGCCGCCTTCATTGCTGCAACAGAACAAAGAAGAAAATTAGTCTTCTAGAATCTTCTGTGACCTAAAACAAAAGAAGGGTGATATCGAATAGCTAATAACAGCTTTCGTATTGATTACACTTGGTTCCTTAAGTTCAAGAGAAGGAGATGTGAATGTAGTAACTAAGAATACGACGGAAACTTCCCCTACAATAAACCACCGCTCACTCTATTTCCTCGTTCGCGGATTTTCTACCCTGAAGATGAAGGCGATACTTTCCTCCGAAACGTCTGTTCACAGAAGATCTACACGGCTACACTGTTCGATATTATCAAAAGGATAAATTTGTACGTGTGGTTAATTAATTATATATATAGTGAGGCATGGAGACCTGTTCCTGGGCGGCGACAGTACAGCTGCCGTTGCTAGGCAGCAGCCCGCAGACAACAACAGAGGAGTGGCGTTTTCTTTTCGGTCAGTACCTAGATATTATAAGCAGGACAATTAGAGATAGTGGAGTGGAGTAGAGGCAAAGGTTTGGCACCAACAGTCACAAGGACAGCTTGCTGTCTTTTAGGTGGTGAAGATAGTTCTGAACCAATGGTAACAGTGCCACCTAGCCGCGCGTGCACGTGTGTGTCTGTAATAATAAATTGAAAATTGTATTTAGATGCTGTATCAAAGAGTTCAATAAATCCGATCATCAATTCATAATCCGTATATAGTAGCACTCAAAACACGTGACAGTATATTTCATTTTTCTCTACAACATTTTTTCGAAATGTTAATCGAGATATACCCAGAAACCCATGTAGATCTTCAGTAAAAACGGCTGTTAAAATTATCCAGTCTGAACACATATTAATGTCCCTCGACAATTTTTAGAACAATTTTCCGATACTGTATTTCATGAAAATCCGTCTACCTGTTCTCCAGTTGTGTCATCAGATGGACGGATGGTGGGTTGAGGGAAATTTCTGTGCGATCCGAAGGGTTATGAACGAGCCTGGAATAATCGATTTATCGAATGTGTTCCGGAAGCTGGATGTCTTTGCATTCCCAGATAAAAAGGCGGAAATACCCTACACGGCTGCGTCCTTTACAGAACAGAGAGTGAGATTTCCTGTTTCCGACGGATACAACTGAGTATACTCCTTCTCTCCATTCTACCTGATGAAAGGGGCAGTTTTAGCTTCCGAAACATTGTTCTTTGATCGGAATGCTACGGGAAAGTACAAGCCCACAAACCGAGTAATCCTTGAAAAGTCATTGCGCTGAATGATTATATGTAATTTGGAACGAGGACAGTACTTCAACAATTAAAAATCCATGGACACTACATTATTGCTTCTTTTGCTTCTTTCATTCCCTAGTAAATAGGTAAATCTGACATGACGAAAGAAAATTACTGTGCAACTTTTATTAACACTAGTACGGAAATTCTTATTAATTTTGACCACATTAATATGATTATAATTTTTTTAAATCTCCTGTCCTTCATGTGGCTATTCCATTTTCAGAACCACTGTCTGGACTTATACCATATCGCACGGGGTCAATAGAAACGTATTCCATACAGAAATTATTTGTTGCAAAGAAAAAACAATACATGAACAGACATTCAAGGTCCTCATAAATAAAATCAGTTCATAACATTGGTCGCCATGACAGTTTTGTTCAAGGAGAGAAGAATGAATTTAATTTTAATTAACGTACTATTATTAAGTTCTCTAAGGCTGAGGGTTCATGGGATAGTCGGAATCATTTACAGTCGATTTGAAATTAAAGTTGTCCCGTTGCTTAAGTAAGCACTGCACACTCAGGAATGATTATGTGGGTGAAGCACAAAAGCACATACGTTCTTAGCCTCGGTAGGCACATTGAGTGGTCGTTTTCATGAGTGGGCGCATTTATTTCTTGGAAAAGGGACCCAGAATTCCATTTCGCATGAGGTTGCATGCCATAGAGAAAAACACAGAACTATCTGGTTAAAAAATCTTTGAGGTGCGCCATCATCAGAGGGTTACTGGATTGTATTTCAAGATACAGAACTAGACGTAAAGCTATTCTTGCAACGTGCCGTGGAGGCCAACAGAGTTGTGAGACGTCGAGGCTTCCACACTTTCTAGACAATCGGCTCACAGATGGCGGTGAAGTTGTCAAAATTACGCGCCGGCCGCCCTTTACTCCCAGGAGGATTCCTGGTACTCATTTCTGTTAGAGGCTGAGTCGACCCCAAGGACACAGTGCGGCTGGAAGGATTGGGTGTATTGAAAAGCCTATGATCTCAATGGGAATCGAACCCACGATCTTTCCACTTGTACCATAGGGCCTCAACCAACTATGCTACCGCGTGGATCTAGACATAGGTGGGAGAGAGATAGGCTGGAGTACAATGGCTAAATTCATCTGGCTCAGGATAGGGACCAATGGCAAGCTCTTATGAACACGGTATTGAACCTGCGAGATTCATAAAATATTGGGAAATGCTTGAGTAGCTGCGCAACTGACAGCTTCTAAATGCGAATTCGGCTGCACGAGTTAGTTCTTACTTTTTCCTTTCTTTCTCTCTCTATGGCTCTATAGCCCTTTTGACCTTGGCCGCTTTTTCAGTTTCTTAATCTATACACAGTCGGTAGGACTCCTTTGACGGGGGATCAACCCGTCGCAAGGACGCTACCTTTACACAGATCAACACAAACACACAATAAACACAAACAGACATCCATACCTCGAGTGGGATTTGAACCCACGAACCCAGTGTTCGAGCGGGCGAAAACGGTTCAGACTTGAGACCGCTTGGCCAATATGATGGACAGTTGTTACTTACTTACTTATTTAGGCCGCGTCATAGCTCAAGCGGTTAGTCGCTGGCTTCCCACCGCGGCGGCCCGGGTTCGATCCTGGGTCTGGTCAAGTGGGATTTGTCGTGGTCAAAGTGGCGCTGGGGCAGGTTTTCTCCGAGTACTTCGGTTTCCCCTGCCAATCTTCATTCCACCAATTGCTCCACAATCACCCTCACCTATCATCTGGGCCTGGTACAATAGGCCAGAAGTGGCCGAAGTACAAGGGACTTAGTCCCACCCCACTAAAAATAAAAAAAATACTTAGTTATATGGACTGAATTCCCCATACTGAAAATCTGGTTGAAAACGAGGGATCTTTCTTGTACAACATTGCCTGCTCAAGACTTACTTCCAACAACATTTAAGAGAATGTACGGGATACGCTCACTGAACCTTCAGCACAGATGCCGTAACAATTTTCTTACACAATATCCTTACACACGCGGACAATTAACTGACCAGTTCGCGTATTTATTGGCTTCTTCGTTTATTCGATCTCGCAAACTCAGCAACCAAACCAAAACATCGATAATTCTACCTGTAGTGGCCATGTTACGCAGCTGTGCAGTGCCATACGAAATCGATACAGCAGCATGGGTACAATCACGGCCTATTCCCAAAGCCGCTCCCCAGTTCCGAGAAATGTGATTAATATGACGTAAACATCTCCATGCACTTAATTAAGCGTCACGCCGTGATGAAATATGGGACAGTGGGTGTTTAGCTAACAAGTGGTTACCTGCACGCCCCGGCCGCTTTGTATGCAGGGAAATGGTTGCGGGTAACCATTGGATAGGAAACTGGTTAGGCTCCAGAACTCATCTGGACGCTCTGGAGAATAGATAAGCATTTTACCCTTGCAGCGAATCGAAGCCCAGTTCTTCAAATATCCAGTCCATAAATTTGTCACTGTATTTACTGAGCTATCCCGTCTCGTATTTAAATATAAGAGATTAACTAAGAGAGATTAATATAAGAGATTATTAACTCCATATTAAACTGAAGTAAAGTATTTTCTGGCCGTTCACGGTAGCCCAGCGGTCTAAGGCATGCACTGTCTTCGCTCGCTCGGAAGCCGGGATCGTGGGTTCGAATCCCACTCAGGGCATGGATGTTTATGTGCGTTTTTCTGTGTTTGTGTACAGGTAGATGCCTTGCGACGAGCTGATCACCCGCCCAAGGAGTCCTACCGAATGTGTAAGATCTAGAAAAACCGAAGTGAACGGAGAAGTTCATGGAGGTAGGCCTAGGCCCACTGGGGCTGTAGTGCCAAGGAAAAACAAAGTATTTCCTGCAATTCGGTAGGTTCATCCATACTGACTTTAACGTCGTTACCTTGGAAACGAAATCGATTTTTGCTCGGTAGACAATTGTTGGTTACCGAATACCCAACAACAATGAACTCCGTTCGACCAGTAACTTTTCGGGTGTAGAACCTCAGTGCGCCTACCGCTCCTGTCCAGGATCCGGGTAAGCGCATTCAGTATAGCGACTGGACGGCCGAGGGTCGGAGTTCGAGTCCCGGTAGGATCAAGAATTTTCTCTTCCCCACGTCGTCCACACCACTTCTGGGAATCACCCAGCCTTTTATCCAATTGGTACCAGGGGCTCTTTCTCTGGGATAAAGCGGCCGCAACGTGAAGGTGGTCGCTTACCTCCAACTAATGCCGATGATAAGAATACGTGGATCTATACATCCACGCCCCCTTCAGTCTGCATGGCATAAACACAAGGCTTTTACCTCCTACCGTTACTTTCCTTGAAGATACCCTTTGGCACAGTTTTACTTACTGATAGAGACCGGCCTCCGTAGTCTAGGGGTAACGTTCCCACCTCATGACTCAAGGTACGCGGGTTCGTGGAATTTTTAAGGGCGGAAAAATTCAGGGAACAAGTCCTCCGGGAGGGACTTTAAGCCGTGGGTCCCGTGTCGTAGCTTTACGGCACGTAAAAGAACCTCATATCTCCAAAGGAGGTCACTGAGCCAAATTACGGACGTTTCCCGCCCAACAGCAGTCTCTAATACCNTATTTTTGAGCTACAATTTTCGTATTCAGCATACACCGTCCTGCAATGGACAAATTGTTAAACACCGAATCCTTCCAACAGCCCAGGCCACAGCGAGGCGCACACCCATACGTAAAGACAAACGGCCTACCAAAAATCATTCTTTTTCTTAGTCGGGGCG